TATCTCTGAAGCAGACGACTTCTCAAAAATTGTAGACCAGTGTTATTGGCTGGTACATTGAGCAACTCATCCAGGGAGCTAAAAACAGCAGTTTTCAGAGTAGTGTGAATCTTGCAGCTTGGGCCCTCAAGTACATCTGCCCCCATAGGTTTGAGACCCTGAGCTCCAGCCCAAGCTGCAACCTCCACACTGCTATTTTTAGCATGATAGCCCTGTATAGCATGTAGCAATCAGAATATATCAGCCCTGATCCTTGAATCAGTGCAAAATGATGGAATCCTGTGTCCTAATAACTGTCTTAGATGGGCAAGTACCACATGGGGGAGTGGCAACTCCTTGCACTTCAACTCTCAGAGCTTATTTTTCATTTTTCTGCCATTGGGCATGGTCTGTCCCTCTCTGCAGAAAAGGGTGGGGGGGGTCTTCGCATAACCCTACACATTCCCCGTGACAGACCAGAGGCAATGAGCATCTGCACAGACACCCCTTGTCTTTTAACTGCCATGTATTTTTCTGGCTTCATGCTGCCTCTTGATAGCATGGTTCTGGCAGGAGCTGTGCTGCCAACCTCTCCTTGCCTGCTGTTATCCCCCCTGAATCCTTCTCAGGAGCATTTCCTGGCACATCATTAATATGCAGGTATCTTAGTTATGGATAAAATGTAGGAAAATAATTATTCTCACTTTTTATGTTGAAGAAGGAAGAGACCCAATAGATATAGTCTGATGTCTATCTTGGTATTTAACTTGAACTGACCCAACAGGATATACCATCTGTGTATACATGAAATTGAGAAATAAAGGGTAAGGAATAGACAAACAATGTTGTAAAGAGAAGGAAAATCTCATATTGAAATACTCATGCAGCAAAGTCAGCAGTTTAAAAATATAAGGAATAAATTAACAAGAAGAGGAGATGAACTAATTATCACTGTCTCGGTATTATTTGGTTATCTGAAATAATGCTAGGAATGGACCGAATCCTGACAGGTAATCTCCTACATAAGTGGTAGAAGCCCCATTGGTTAGGACTTTTAAAACTAGACTGGACAAAGCAGTATATCTTATGGAACAATCCTGCACTCGGAGAGCTGGATTGGAAAGTCTCTTCCATCTCTAATGTCTTGCATTTTATTATATGATTCTATGAACTCCCATTGACTTAATTGGCACTTAGGATTTCTCAAGATCAGCCCCAATGTTATGTGCAGTGTTACAAGAAGCCAGCATGATATAGTGGATAGAGCACTGGATGGGGATTCAGGAGACCTGGGTTCTGTTCTTAGCCCTGGAGTGCTGGGTGACCCATAGCAAGTCAATGTATCTTCCCATGCCTTAGTTTCCCCATCTGTAAAATGGGAATAATGATACTGATCTCCTTTTTAAAGCACTTTGAAATCTACTATGAAAACTGCTGTGTAGTGTATTATTATTAGCAATTTCGTAAAGATATATATTACAAGGAGCATTGGAACACACAAAGGATAAGGAGGGTAAAGTCTTTGTTTTGGTTTGTTTTTTAAATAGCCACCTGTCCACAATACTATTGTCTGTAAGGGTTCTCTCAGAGAACAGGTCTAAAAAAACAGGAAAAATAAATCTGCTGATGAGGGATGAGCGAACAGAATTTTATAAGTTGCTGAATAGCAAAACTACTAGTATTATTTTGCTAACCAAACGTGGCCAGAATATCAGTTAGGACATGTTCAGCTGTCTCTGCGGGCCACCCCACCTGCGTACAGTTGAAGTCTCCCTGGGGTGGCAGCCTCAGGGTTGGTGTAAGCCCTGCCCTTTAAGCATGGGAGACTGTCCGCTACCACCTACTGCCATATCTTCATGGGGCTTTGGGTAGCCACTTCTGCATCTCCCTCTTGTATCTCAAAGGAGAGCGGGTCACTGGTAACAGCGTCTCCTGAAAACGCAGTCAGACATATGGGAGCAGGATTACATCTGCCTCCAACTACCAGCCTTTTTATTTTATTAAACTAAAATCCTCTAGAATGTGTTGAGTCCACAAAAAATTGTTGCGTGCTAATGTTTGCCTTGGGACTTCTACATTAGCAGAGATATATAATGTGTGCAATGAATGTTTGCATCCATCTGCCTTGAGGCTCCACATCTGTGCAGGTTCTTCTGTATTAGTTACTGCACCTAAATCATACTAATGTAACATCTCTGTTCTTAAATTTTTGCCCTGGTGTTTTGGGCGTGATTAATAGGACCTCTGGTTGTCTTCTCTCGCAGTGTTATTTATTCTGGCATAAGTCAGGACTCTTGGCTTTGCCATAGCGTCCACCAAGTGCCTGTTTAACTTTGCAATCATGTCGCCTACCTAAGAGACCACAAACCATATGAAGCACAGAACCATGACTGCACACCAAAATAGGTATATTTCTGAGAAGTGAGTCCCCAGCTGGTAGGAGTGCTTAGCTTGCTGCCTTGGAAAAAGCTTTAAAAATTGTATATTCAAAAAATGACTTATAAAATGAAATGGTATGCAAAAGTTAGCATTATTCTGAACCTTTATTCTTGTTTCAGAAACGCTAAGGATGCCTATGCAAGAGAACTAGAGAATCTAGAGCAATGTTTAAAGAGAGAAAGTGAGATGAGGTAAAATTACAAGTCACCCTCCTCATAAGGAACAGATCAACATATTAATGTGATTTATGAAGACTTTGTTTATATTTTTCAAATAAGACCTAAAACCAAGATCCTAACAGCCCAAAGCTCCAGTGGTCCTTTTTGCTGGACAAGGAGTGATTCATCTCAATGTCATGGCCAAATTACATCTGGAGTAATTGTATTCTGTCTTCTAAATTCCCCCGCTGTCTCATTTCCTGTCCTGTAGTGTTGTTGTGTGGTAACAGCTGCTAAACTTTACCAAGTAGGTGGCTCTGTATCAGCAGTGCATTGAATTGTTCTGGTTTGGGTACCAATTTAATTTTGTAAAGCACTTTGGGACCCTTCCAGATGGAAAATCACTGTATGCTTGTAAGCTATTGCTGTTGTTTTCCAGTTTAGGGCTGATCTTGCACAATTGGGGTCAATGGGAGTTTTGCCATTGATTTCACTAGGAGCCGGATCAGACCTTGAGTCTGTGGGGCCTAATTTTCTCAAGTGCCAAGTGCCCGCAACTCCTGTTAAAGTCAGTGGGTACTTAGAATGCTCAACACCTTTGAAAATCATACCACCGGTCTGGTAGACATTTAGGGCTCCAGCTGTCATGAGCACAGTGGACTAGGAAAGAGGATGGTCTGTTTTAAAATGATTTTGTATCTTGGATTATGTCATCTGCTTTCCTGGGGACTGCATATTTTTCAGCCTTTAAATAGAGCCTCCCATTGAGTTTGTTTTGTTTAGTAAACCTTGGGGGGTGGGGAGGGAAGCATGTTCTACAAAGACCACTGAAAGCACATTATAATAAGAGTTATGCTAAATGCATCCCTATTGATGAGATCTGCCAAGATGTACTTTGCATCACTCTGCATACTCTGTTTAGGCAGTGATGCTTGGATTTAGATGCCAGGAGGCCCTTTCATATCTCTCTTTTAGTGTGTATGGGCAGGGGGGAGCTAGTTATGAAAGAGGCCCCAAGTTGGATAAATCCAAATTAATTATTGTAACTGGAGTTAGATGTGAGAGGATGATAAAAATTTTCCAGTTTGCTTTGATGTTTACTCAGAACTCCAAGTGAACCTAAGAGGTGGGGGAGAGGGGGAATACTCACAAGCTGAACCATCTTCAGATTCTGGTCTAAATCCCAGTTTCTCTCAGCTGTGCTCAAGATGCACTACTCTTCCAAACCAAACGGGACATATCTTATTTTTAGAGAGGCAAGTTCTATATCAGGGATCAGCAACCTTTGGCATGCGGCTCACCAGGCTAAGCACCCTGGCGGGCCGGGCCGGTTTGTTTACCTGCCGCGTCCGCAGGTTTGGCTGATCGTGGCTCCCACTGGCCGCGATTCGCCGTCCCAGGCCAATGGGGGCTGCGGGAAGCGGCGCGGGCCAAGGGATGTGCTTGCCACTGCTTCCCGCCACCCCCATC